ATATTTCATGCGCCCGCCCCTCCCTCTCGCTGATCACCCCCCTTGTCGTCCCTTCCCCCCCCCCCAACCATTACCTCCATCCATGAGGAGCCCACCTACCCTTTAACCCCCTTCTGCACACACCAGAGGTGTAGATGCCCCTCTCTATTCTTCCTCTGTGTACCTTTTTTCCCCTTGTCGCCCTCTCCGTCCCTTCCCTGTACCCCCGAGTCTCTTCGGGAGGCGGTCGCGGTCGTTCCTTGCCGCGCCCGTGATCACCGCCCCACCCTATCCGCACACACTCCCCTCCACCGCGCATACGTGCACAAGGTGGTGGGGGGGGGGGGGGGGGGGCGATTGGGAGGGGGCATGGGGATGTCTGGGGATGAATGGATGCTGTGTCTGTGTCGGGATTGGAACGGGTTGATGTGGTTGATATGGTTGCATGTGGATGTGGTATGTAGCCTTGTGGTCTGGTCTGTCTGACGCAAGCCATGGCCGACCAAGACACATCCCTCTGATTGCGGGTGTACTCACAGAAAGCCGAGGTACGATGATGGTGAACAGGCGTGTGGTGACGTGATGAAGCTGCAGATCAAGGTCGACGAGAACGGTGTTATCGCTGATGTACGTGATTGAGTGATGAGAGGATGGGGGGGGGGGGGCGCGGCGAGGCGGTGGAAGGTTGAGACCGGGTGACGCGACGCTGGTGGTGAGTATTGCCGCTACTTGTCTTACATGTAATCATGTTGTGTTGCTGCGGACGTGGGTAGGCCAAGTTCCGTACTTTCGGTTGCGGGTCGGCGATCGCGTCGTCGTCACTGGCGACCGAGTGGGTGATCGGCAAGACGGTTGAGGAGGCTGCGGCGATCAAGAACGCCGAAATTGCCAAGTACCTCTCGCTGCCGCCTGTCAAGCGCCACTGCTCGATGCTTGCCGAGGACGCCATCAAGACTGCACTCCACGACTACAAGGAGAAGCTGGAGAAGAAGACCCAGAACTAGGCGTAGAGTGTGTGCTGCCGGATAAACTGTTTCTCCCACCTGCTAGCTCACGCCAGCCGCTCGCGCAAGCAGGCCACCACGGTCTCAAGGCTAGCGTCGACGTCATCAACTCGAGCCACGACGTCGCACGCCGAGTCAAGGAGGACGGTGGCCTCCATTTCGCGGACCAGCTCGACGTTGCGCGGCGCGTCGCGAGTTGCAGCCTCAAGGCAGAAGAGCATGGAGGCGGCAATCTGCAGGCCGTGCTCCTCATCCAGCTTGGACGTTGTCGCGAGATGCAGCCATCCGACGACTCGCAGCAGCGCCTCGTGCATCATGGTTCTCTGGAACGGGGCGCGGGTGGCCATGGCAGCTAGGATGTCAGCCGCGGCAGCAGCCTGGCGCGCTGCGCCGCGTGCCACCTCTAGATACGTCACCAGCAGTGGGACGTAGTGCTCGAGGCGGGCGGCATTGTTGACGTGCTCGCGGGCGAGGATGACAAGGGCAGCGCCGACAGACTCGACCAGATCGTCGCGGTCGAGCATGTTGATCATGTCACGGATGAGGGTGGTCTCGCCGGCAGCGTCGGCCAGCTGCGGCTGGCCGTCGACCAGCGCCATGAGGGTGTTGACTGCAGCGACATGGACAGCGGTGGCGCGCGATGGCCGGCGCAGCGTCCGTACCAGGACCTGCAGCGCGCCAGCGGCGGCAGCGGCCTGGACATTGACCGACGAGCCACTGCAGATTTCGGCAAGCGCTGAAAAGGCGGCCGGAGACTGGCGCGCCTTGACAAGAGCCACAAACGCCGGCACACCCGAAGCGGCCGCCAGCGCCGCCCGCACCCGGGCATCCTCCATGCAGGCAAAGCCAAGGGTGTTGGCGGCAGCCGCCTTGACACCCATCGACGATCCCGACATGTGTGCGAGAACACGCATCGGGCCGTGAGCTTCCAGAAAGGCATCCATCGCTTGAGGGCAGGCTGCCAGCGCACCGCGAAGCGCTGCAAAGACAAGCAGCCGTGTCCGGTCACGAGCCGTGGTCAGCGACGCCAGCAACTGCATGAGGCACGCAAGGCCGCCGGCGTCGACAAAAGCACAGCGGAGGATGGCGAGGGCGCCATCGCTCGGGCTCCGCAGCAGCTGTGCCAGGAACCGCAACACCCGCTCGAGCTGCCGGCTCCCTTTGGCCTCGAGCAGCGCCACCGGCGCGTCGAGGCCGTTGCACTCGGCCAGCGCGGCAGCGGCCTCGGTCGACGCCACCACCAAAACCAGCAGCAGCTGGGTGATGGGCACAATTTCTGCAGCCCGCACCGAGAGCATGGAATCTGCGCGATCTTCTCTCGGGAGGCCAAAGGCCCGGGCGTTGCGGCGGTGCGAGGCCTCGAGGCGGGCGGCAATCGACGACGGCAGATAGTTGAACCGCTCGTTGTCGACAACAGCATTGAGGAGCTGGACCAGAAGCGGCACGCCCGAAAACTCAATAGCAAAGATCTCGGCCATGGCCGCCCGCTCCTCGACGGACTCTAGCGAGTCAAGGAGCTGCCGGAGGTCGGTACAGACCTTGATGCGGCTCGCCGAGTTGGAGTTGGTGAGCATGCGAATGGCGCCGATGATGGCCTGGCGCACGTGGTCGGGCGCAGCGACCCGGAGCGAGCGACGCGCCCGAGGGCCAGCCGACGTCGGACGTGGCGATGCAGCCGCTAACGGCGCAGCCGATACTGACACGCGGTCACTGCCCTGGATAGGCGCCGATGGCGGGCGCGGCGGGCGGCTCAAGCTCATCGGTGTCGACGCGATGTACACGCCCGGCGCGGCCTGCGAGTGCGAGGATTGGCGGCGGATCGAGGTGATCGGCCGGAACCGTGGATCACCATGCGCTGTCGAGGGACGGGCCTGGGAGTGCGGGCGGTGCTGAGGCGTGCGCGAGCGGGCCCAGGCGCCGCCACCATGGCGAACGACCGGAGTGTATGCGCGGACCATAAAGCCCGAACCCCAGCGCTGGCTGGAGGCAAGCGTAGCCGATCCTGGCGCCGCCGCTGAGACTGTGACTGACTTTCCTGCCGCCAGCCGCCACGAGGCGTGCGCGCTCCGATCACGGCCAGCAGCAGCCGACGACGGGCGACCGCCCCGCGAGCGAGTCCTTGCCCGCAATCCGGCGCGTGTCCGGGACCGGCGTGCGGGCTCGGGCTCAACCAGCTCGACGAGAACCAGAGCATCGTCGGCCAGCGCGGCATCCTGCTCCACAGGTGGCGGCGTGGGCCGCAAGCGAGCCGTCTGCTGCAGAGCGTCCGAGTTGATGGTGGCCAGAGCCTCGGCCGCGGCGGCAGCAAACAGGCCGCCACTGCCCGGCTGCGGCCCAGCAGGCGGAGGCGTGGACTGAGCAGAAGCCGCCACCGCTGCTGCCGTCCGGTGTCGTTGGCGAACAGGCATAGAGAAAGGGAGGGAGTGAGGGAGGGAGGAGGTGAGAGGTGGGGCAGGTGGGGGGGGGGGCTCGGGGGAACCCTAACCCTATCCCTAACCCTAACCCTTAACCTTAACCCTAACCCTAACGCTAACCTTAACCCTAACCCTAACCCTAACCCTAACCCTAACCCTAAATCCTAACCCTAACCCCAAACCCTAACCCTAACCCTAACTGTAG